GTGGATGCAAAGATTGCAAGATCTGTTGGCGATATTATCATTATGTTAACAACGTCGAGAACTACATGTTTATAATGATATATAATGTTAAATTTATGTTAACTATCTATTAAATGGCAAGTGTTTTAATTTAATGTCAACTTGTTTTTGTTTCTAAATCTTACTTATATTGCATATGCATCTGGTCTAAAGTATCATGACCATTTTCAAATATACATCTTCAAATTATTCTAAATGCACTTTTGAAGATACATTTCCAATCTAAAATTAACTATAATACATCTCCAAACTAAAATTAACTATAATAGAGATGACTAACACGTTGGCGTTCAATTTTGTAAAAAATAAATACGGTCTGAGATGCAACTAAATCTCCAAACTATAGGAACATTAGGAACACTTTAGAATTTTATCCAAAGATTTGTGCAAATGTATAAAGGTGAGAAAAGAAATTCCCATTATTTGACTCCCGGTCAATCTCTTTTCTTTCTTTGACAAGATTAAAGAAAGGGTTTGATAGCACTTATAGTATAAAAAAAAAATGAAAATTAGCCTTATATGTGGTTTAAACATGTAAAAGATTTGTAGATTATTATAGGATACAAAAAGTAAATAAGATAGAATGAAGTCAAACAATGACTAGAGGCATAGAAAGATCTAGAAAAACTATACCTCAAAAAATCTTTAAATTAACAATTTAGATAGAGACTTAGTCCTAGATAGAATATTATAGCAAAAATTAATCCATATAATCATCCTAGATAGAATATTATAGCAAAAATTAATCCATATAACCGGCCTCAGCTAGGGAGATAAGATTTGTTGAATAGAAAATTTATTAAAAAAAAAAATTAAAAAAAATTATATAAAAAAGGCACCAAGTATTGTAACTTTCACATGCCGAACAATATAACTGTTCTGGACTGGGCCGAGGCTTAGCCCACAATCGAGAAGGCCCAAAATTCCACTGAGGTTGGGCCCAATTGGACCACACTGATGAGCAGGGACCAATGGGCAGAACCTCCTCCCGTCAGGCAGGTGCCCATCCCGTGGGCAGAACCGGTGCCCATCCTGACGAGCAGAACCTGTGCCCATCCCGTCAGGGCAGAACCTCCTCCCGTCAGGCAGGTGCCCATCCTGACGAGCAGAACCTGTGGCCATCCTGACGAGCAGAACCTGTGCCCATCCTGTCGGGCAGAACCTGTGCCCATCCCGTCAGGGCAGAACCTCCTCCCGTCAGGCAGGTGCCCATCCTGACGAGCAGAACCTGTGCCCATCCTGACGAGCAGAACCTGTGCCCATCCCGTCAGGGCAGAACCTCCTCCCGTCAGGCAGGTGCCCATCCCGTGGGCAGAACCTGTGCCCATCCTGACGGGCAGAACCTGTGCCCATCCCGTCAGGGCGGCACCTCCTCCCGTCAGGCAGGTGCCCGTCCCGTGGGCAGAACCTGTGTCCATCCTGACGGGCAGAACTTGTGCCCATCCCGCCGGGCAGCACAACGTGCCTTCCACACGTTCTCCGCGTGCTCCCCTCCGCGGGGAGAATAACGTGCTCGGCGCACGTTCTCCACGTGCTCCCCTCCGCGGGGACACGTCATCAACCAACTGCCCACCTCCGAAAGAGCAGGTCAAACCCACTTTCCGGAGATCTAGGAGCAGTTGGACTAGGGCGAAGACCACGTCCTGGTCTTCACTACGCCACGTAAGCCCTAGCAGTCATTAGGGTTGGGCCTGGTCATCCAGTCCAGCTCAAATGACCGTTGGCCCAGCGCTGGGGTCTCTCTATAAATACCCTCTTCCCCAAGAGGGTCAGGTAATCCACTTCTTACCCGACTTTCTGTTCTTGCTCTCACTCTGCCCAAATTCTGACTTTGGCATCAGAGTGCCTTGCAGGTACACCCCCTCCTCATCCTCAACACCGGTGAACAGGAAGCAGCCTAACGGAGCGTGGCCATCCCGTGATCCCCTCCTGATCAGGTCAGATCAGTGGCGCCGTCTGTGGGAAACTAAGCTCCCCCGTTCCTCCGAGCAGAGAACCAAAGCTTCATCTCTCAAAACTTCAAGATCACGAGTGCCCTCCGCCATGGCGACGTTGTTCACAATTGTCCTCCCTTCGTCGAGCAGAAGACTCCGATGGGCAGGACCTGGCTGCCCACCAGCCAGTCTTTGTCCTCCTTTCGCCGAGCAGAAGACTCCGATGGGCAGGACCTGGCTGCCCACCAGCCAGTCTTTGTCCCCTCCTTTCGCCGAGCAGAAGACTCCAATGGGCAGGACCCTGGCTGCCCACCAGCCAGTCTTTGTCCTCCTTTCGCCGAGCAGAAGACTCCAATGAGCAGGACCCTGGCTGCCCACCAGCCAGTCTTTGTCCTCTCTTTCGTCGGGCAGAAGACTCTGCCGGGCAGGACCCTGGCTTCCATCCAGCCTTGTCCTCCTTTCGAAAACCTACTACCTCGAAAACTTACACGGGACTATATAGCTCGACCATGGAACGCTGAAAAGCTAAAAAATACTACAGTTAAACAACACTGCCCGCGTGGGACAACCCGCGCGAACAAGAGGGTGGACTGATACGACCACACCTCACCGACCTTACCTTAGCGGGCACTATATCTCCCCGAACAAAAAGAGAATAGCCCGCTCGACGGCACCCCCTCGATCGAGAGTCGCCGCCGCAGTATCATAATCGGCCGAACGCCCAGCTCGCGATGGGATGTTCAAGCCTACAGGATAGATCACAACCGTGACCTAACTCTTGTCCGCCCAGGAAGCTACCCCGGGCATCCGGATAGTTCCCCACACTACCGGGTAACACGCACCGAGCAAAGGTCCCCCACAAAACAATAAACATTCACGTCATAATGGAGCTCGGCAAAACGAGCCAACACTTAGCGAAAAAGCATAACGATCATGCACGCACACAAAACTTAGAAAGGAAAACAAGAATTCCATAAAAGGGGCACAAGCCCAGAAGTCAAAACGTTATAATAAACGGGCACGACCCCGGGTGTCGAGCAGAAACGATCGAAGGTGTCGAGCATAATTTTTTGGATGTCGAGCGACTGCAATTTCGCCCTTCCCAGATGATCGATACGATCGACGACATTCTCGCATCCTGCCTGACATATCAGCGCGCGCAACGCTATTCTCTACTTAAGTCATAGCTCTCCTGACAGCGAACTACGACTTGGGGGGCTCCTGTTCTGGACTGGGCCGAGGCTTAGCCCACAATCGAGAAGGCCCAAAATTCCACTGAGGTTGGGCCCAATTGGACCACACTGATGAGCAGGGACCAATGGGCAGAACCTCCTCCCGTCAGGCAGGTGCCCATCCCGTGGGCAGAACCGGTGCCCATCCTGACGAGCAGAACCTGTGCCCATCCCGTCAGGGCAGAACCTCCTCCCGTCAGGCAGGTGCCCATCCTGACGAGCAGAACCTGTGGCCATCCTGACGAGCAGAACTTGTGCCCATCCCGCCGGGCAGCACAACGTGCCTTCCACACGTTCTCCGCGTGCTCCCCTCCGCGGGGAGAATAACGTGCTCGGCGCACGTTCTCCACGTGCTCCCCTCCGCGGGGACACGTCATCAACCAACTGCCCACCTCCGAAAGAGCAGGTCAAACCCACTTTCCGGAGATCTAGGAGCAGTTGGACTAGGGCGAAGACCACGTCCTGGTCTTCACTACGCCACGTAAGCCCTAGCAGTCATTAGGGTTGGGCCTGGTCATCCAGTCCAGCTCAAATGACCGTTGGCCCAGCGCTGGGGTCTCTCTATAAATACCCTCTTCCCCAAGAGGGTCAGGTAATCCACTTCTTACCCGACTTTCTGTTCTTGCTCTCACTCTGCCCAAATTCTGACTTTGGCATCAGAGTGCCTTGCAGGTACACCCCCTCCTCATCCTCAACACCGGTGAACAGGAAGCAGCCTAACGGAGCGTGGCCATCCCGTGATCCCCTCCTGATCAGGTCAGATCAATAACCAAGACACTTGAATGATACAAATTCTGATATTGCAGAAGCTTTATCACATGGCTGAAGAATCACAAAGGATATGCTATTTCTAAAAGACTGAATCTGTAAGCACAATCTGATTTTTTGAACGGAACCCAACCCCTTTATGAAGAGGGACAACTCTACCCGTTTAACTTCGGAACTACTATAGAAGATAAACTAATGCAATGCCTCACTTTAGCTAGGTTTGCTGTTTATAATCCTGACTCAATTTGGATAGAAGATATTTGACAAACTTATTGCATTCTTGGTTTCACATTTGAAGGATACATTTTTCAGTCAGAAAGTAAAACTGATACATTCAGGCAAAATAGAAAATAACAACAGATTCAAAAAAAAATCATACAATGGGGCAAGATTTGAAATCTCTAATATTACTCGAAAATGCCAGAGTTCAACCAGCTATATCTCTCAGGTAGCTAACAGTGCAAGATGAAGGAACCAAAAGTGCACTATTTAACAGTAACTTCTACACTTTCTAACATTTACCAACACTATTTTTTCAAAAGACAATTTTTAAAGCAGGTATAGAAAGTAGCAATATGTAAGATTCTTTAGGGCGGTCAGTGAGTAACCTTGCCCAAAAGCCACGAGTAAATCGCACCCACCAACAATCAAATAAAGAATTTTTACAAAGAAAGATAATTCTTGTAACCAAGGGACTGAAGCCCAATTGAATACAAGTGATATGTACTTTGCCAAACAAAAAAACGCATAAAGCCTATAACCATAAATTTGATCCAGGTACAACCTTTCACCTTCTTGTGTATGAAAAACTAACAACCCTCAAGATACGAAATGAATTTATTACATTGAAAATCACTTTCAACTGAACAAAAGAGTATGCTGAAGAGCAAAAAAGTAATTCCTCTTGACTATTTCTTGCTTCTACCACAGTCCCATGAAAATATTAACTGAACAATAGGGATCTATCTAGTGCTGAAAAATTGACCTGAAACAAAATTTTATAAAATGCTCCTGGTCTTAAGCTCGATCAGCGTACCTGGGAAGGTGAACATAGCAGTCCAGAAGCATCAGCACCTATTACTGAAATATCACAAACAGCACAAAGCTGCCCCTCCTGGCTTGGCACAAAACGGGAAGTACAGTATGGGCAAGCAACATCCTTCTGTCCTCGATAGATTGGCACATACGTAGCCCCACAAGTAACAAATGGGTTTCGGAAGTCATAGTTCAACTGTGTGGCATCAGTCATATTTCTTTCCGCAGCTGTCAGCACTTGCCTTGCTGTCTTCGCTTGGTTTTCAATGGTGGGATTTGTCTCAAGCAGCCTCCTAGCAAAGTTAGCAGCGGTGGCAAGGTTCTTTGCTTTGTAGCAGACACTCATTGCATTCAACAAAGCTAACCTCAAGTGAGGCACCTGAAGGTTACAGTGAGTGAAATAAGCAGCAAGCTCCTGCTGTCTCACTGGATTGTCCTTAGTTTCTCTCCTCTTCAGCTCGATCTGCAGACCCAAAACATACTCTTTGACTATGATAATCAGTTCCTTCACATCATCCACTTCCCTCCTTGACTCCACCACAATCAAAGGAATTGTATGAAGAATATTAACAAATGTCTTAAGAGCCTCAGTGAATTTTCCGGCAGTAAAAAACTTATAACCAGCTCTAAGCTTTTCATCCAGCTGAGACAATTTGAAAGGAAGTGCTGGGGGGCCTCTCACATTTGTACTAGATGACTCAGTCCAACCTCTTTCAACTGCAAGTGATATGATTGGAGCAGATGAAAATGCACGCAGATAGGAATGACTGCCAGTATGAAGATCGAGAAAAATGGATTTTAAGGGGGCAAAATTCCTTATCCCAAGTTGTCGGTTCAGCAACCTCATTGCAGTATCGAAATTTCCAGCAGCTGCATGCTCAGCAGCAAGTGATGATTTCTGCACCCATATGTGGCTTACTGGCATGCCTGGTGTCGGGGCAATAAAAACGGAAGACTGTGTGCCAATAGAAGCCTTTGGGGTGTCAGCTTCAGGGCCCAGCTCTAAATCTTCCATATCCCATCCACCTTCTTCGTCATTTTCTTCAGCCACTTCTCCATGTTCCAAAATTTCGGCAACATCTCCATTTTGCAAGGCTGCATCCACATCAACTATGTCCAGCCCCTCACCCCAGTCTCCATCAGCAGCCTCGTACTCTTCTTCATCGTCAACTCCCCGACCTGTATTGTCAAATGCGCCATCAAACATGCCTCGCATAACCCTAAGAAGGGGCCAATCACTTCCACACATGACAGGTGAAGGAGGTATCAAGAGAGACGGCACTTTCCCCTCAGGCAAAGATGGAACATTATCTCCAAGTTCAGTTGCAAGCCGTTCAGCAACGTCATGCAACCCATGGACTGATGCAGCGATGTAAGCAAGAGGCAAATGGCCCACATTCTCCAAGACCTTGACGCGTTCTCGAACATCGCCCATATACAAGGCATTGTGAAACTGGCCCATTACGTCATTCTTCACTTCAGCAATTTTCAACATCTTCGAAAGTTTCTCCAAGTTGCCAGTTACAAGATAAAGGAAAGACAACCTCTCAAAATTTTTTGTCCTCTGATATGCATACTCTACTATGCCAGCATTACCTTGGCGAAGAGCCTCAACCCCTAAACGATACCAGTAGTCTTTCTCATCAATTGCAGTGGCTGATGCAACTGCAATTTGAATATTACCACTTTCTAAAGCCAAGTTGAACCGAATTTTTTCATCTTTCACAAAATGCAGGGCCACCTCAGGAAAGCCCTTCTGTTGAAGATAAGCAATCATGGCCTGCCCACAGAGTTGAGAGTTCTTTATCATGTTCATAACATGGTCATATTTTTTTTTGAAGAGGGAAAGCTTAAAAATATATTCAGTTGCATCAATAGTTATTACTCGGCTTTTTCCATCCCGGTCCAAACAGAAGATTACATTTCCTGAAACCTTTGTGATATAAATTGGAACATCCAGTGTTTTTATAATCCCATTATCTCCATTGGGAAGACAATATTTAATGTGATTTAGTGTAGTATAAATGAAAACACCATTGTCATCCCAAGCTCCACTTTTTACACGGATTGTTTCATGGAGAGTGCATTGGTGCACAAGCTTCTTGCTAGCTATTATAATGGCATGCTTGCTTAGCAAAGCAACATGTTCCATGTCATTAGACCAGACAACATATTTGATAAAAGGGGTCTGGAGATCACCAAGAACAATCCTCTGTTGAAGATCAAACACAACAACCCTATCCTCAGACCTACAAAGTAAGTTGCCTGTTCCTGCATAGAATATAGCATCAGTGGCAATTGGAAGGGCACTCTTTTTAACAATATCGTTCTTCAAACTTTTGATAAGGACTTGATTGGTGCTCTTCTCAAGCACGGCAAATCGATTACGAGCAACAAAGACTGCAGATCCCCCGTGACCTTTTTTTGCATCTTGCACGTCTCCCCTACCATAACCATCCTTTGATATGCAATACAACTCATAAGATCCACCATCTACATCTGAACACAAAAGAAATGCATTTTCAGTTGGGCTATAGGAAAGAGTCTTTGGACTTTGATTCAAGCTTAAGGAACCCGGTCGTCGAAATGGAAGTACTTGCACGTCTCTTTGTGTTGAAAATTCATAGAAACACAAGAACCGATCTTTTGTGTAGAATAAAGAATCCCCACTAACCGTGAAAGCAGGCCTTTCCCTCTCCAACTTAAAAACAATCATACCACTGTCATGACCAGCCGCTAATAAATTCATTTCAGGATGTGCAGCAAGAATCCAAAACCTATCATGCTCTCGGCGAAATGTTTGAATTCCAGTTCGCTTTGTCGCATCCCATATGCGAATACTTTTGTCTTCAGAATTTGAGACAATGATATCCTGTTTGGCATGGAACATTACACATGAAACATTATTCATGTGCCCTCTCAAAGTATCTACTTCCCATGCCTTTGTGTCTGAAAAAACAGATAGCAATTTTATTAGCAGCAGAAGCTAGTGACACTTCAAATAATACCAAACCAAGTCTTTTACACTTCCACTATATATTTAATCATTTAATGCATACAAATTACAATACAATAACTGACTCAACACAAATTTTTCTTTAACCCCCGACGAATACATGTACTATAAGTTTGTTCAAACATACAAACACATGTTAAGATAATGTTATTATCAAAACCACATCAATACTATAAGAAAATGCAAACAATGCCATGTCCCAATTAATCGATAACTGAAGAATGTTTTGATATTTACCGTTCATCCTCCAAATCTTAACCTGTCTATCATCAGCAGCAGAGACAATAAGAGGCAGTGTGGGATGAAAAGAAGCCCAGTTAACACCACGGTCATGACCTTCCAAAACATACTTAACAACAGCATCAACCCCACCAAAAAGATCAGTATTCATCTGACTCAACCTAAGTATATCATCCGCAGGAGACGCATTCTTCCTCTTAAGAGACCCGATATCCCAAACGCGAACAGTCTGATCCAACGACGCAGACACAACGAGATCGTCCTTAGGGTGAAAAAGCGCACACATAACATAATGATTATGACCAGTCAAAACAGAAATGCAGGTTCGCGACTGCCAGTTCCAGATGCGAATGGTTTGATCATCACTAGCACTGACAATCCAAGGACTCTCGTGATGAAATTGAACGGTGCGGATGTAATCTAAATGACCTAAAAGAGTGAACAAACATCTATGCAGTTTGTAGTTCCAAACCTTGATCTTGTAATCATCACCTGCCATTATAAATCTCAAATTCAATTAATAACAATCTAATCTAATCGAATCTATAGATCAGATCTGTGATTTTTTTTAGTGAAATTATTGAATAAAGATACCTCCGGAGACGAATAGAGGTTGAGAATTGTGAAAATGAACACCGCGAACGGGACCATCGTGTTCGTCGAATTTGTCGATGAGGGTTCCCATGCGGTAATCCCATAACTGGATGACGCCGCTGTGGAGACTGGCGAGGATCCATGGTCGTTTCGGGTGGAAGCTGAGACCCTTAACTCGGTTACTCTTGGTCTCGAATTTGGTCAACATGTTGTAAATCCAGGTTAAGAGAGGTGTTTATGTGTGTGATTAGAGATTAGGGAGTTTAGGATGAGGGAAGAAGAAGATGGAAAATGGAGATCGGGAAAGAGGGGGATTGAGATCTGGGTGGGGGAGTGAGATCCTTCTTCGTACACTCTTCTCGAGCGTATCCGATTTACTAGTCTGTCCTCTCATAAACCTATTTATTTTCTACAAATAATAACTTGCTTATTTCAAAAGTTTCTTCTCACCTTCCTATTTAAAAAATAAAAGATAAAACATTTTCATGTGTAATTAAAATTTGTTGAAAAATAGGAGATGAGAATGATAATTTCAACAAATTGGAGACAAATATCGAGGCATAAGCTAAAAAAAAGAAAAAAAATCTATAAGCAAGCTTCATTGAAATGTTAGTACTTACTAAATTATAGGATAATGTAAGTACTTAAAAAAAGGTTAGTATTTACTAAATTATAGGATAATTGTATTCGCAAATACTGCACAAGTTATTTAAAATATAACATTTTGTTTATAAATGGTATCTCAATTAATAACAAATTGATATTATTATGTTGGATGTTATCTTCGTATTTTATAATACTTGTGTGAATTTTTAGTGGTTATTATGATTGCTTATATATATTTAAAAAAAATAGTATATTTTATTTTTTACTTACGTGTCATCTAATGAGTCAATTTATTGGAGGACGTATTCGAGGAAGTCAAGAAATACAACATATGTTTAAATCCTAACAAATGCATCTTCGAAGTTAGGATATGAAATTTTTTGAGATATTACTTGTAAGTGAGAGAAACGAGTTAATCTAAATATGTGTCAGATTGTGGTTAACATGGCAGCCCCTGAAACCAATAAAGGAATTCAGCAAATAAATGGCATGATAGTAGTTTTATCACAATTTATCTCCAGATTCGTCCATTATGCCTTACCATTTTTATAAATTATTCAGGAAGGAGTGTGTGTTTGAATGAACCTGAGAGCGTGAGATTGTCTTCACAAGACTTAAAGAAGTATTATTGCAATCACCTATTTAATTCGTCTTGGGGATGGCGAGACACTTTTCATTTATTTGTTTGTATTATTAGAAATTGTAGGGTCGTTGTGGTTCATGAAAACAGGGTTCGCCTTGGGGATGGCGAGACATTCTTCATTTATTTGTTTGTATTATTAAAAGTTATAGGGTCGTTGTGGCTCATGAAAACAGGGTCTCCCAAAATTCAATGTATATCATCGTAAAGGTATTACAAGGGGCAAAAGTGTGTTATTAAAGGTGGAGAAAATTGCTTTGATCCTTGTAGTTGTGGTAAGAAAATTAAGACATTATTCCTTAAAACATCTCGTTTACTACCCATATTAAACAAATACTCTTCAAACGTAATTTAGCATGAAGGGTGGAAAATTGAACTGTAGAGCTCTCTAAGTTTGACATCTCCTACAAACTGCAAAAAGTGCTCAAAGCATAAGCTTTGGTCGACTTCATTGCAAAAACCACCTTTGAGAAGTCAGACATACTATCACGATGGATTGTAATCATGGATATCTTTTTCAACACTAAAGGAAGTGGAGTCATTCTTTTGGAGAGCAACAATCGTCTCGTGTTTGAGGTTGTATTAAGGTTTGAGTTTCTAGCGTCTAATAACCAAGCAGAGTACAAGGCTTGTTTGACTAGACTGCATATACCACTCGAGATGGGAGCTAAAGAGACGTTAATCAAGTCTGATTCGCAACTGGTAACATCACAAGTAATAATGAAGTAACAAGCCAAAAATGCAATTATGCAGCAATATTTGGCTATTATAAAGATTGTCATGACTAAATTTTGCAAGACGAAAATCATTTACATATTGATGGAACAGAATTGGAAGGCAAACCACATATCTAATTTGCCTAGTTCCAAAACATGGGATTGTAGTAAAATTGTGATCCATGAGGTGTTATTAACTTTCGCTATAAAATGCAGTGTGAACACCATCGAAAAAGAGGTCAAGAGACAGCGGACAGACAATTAGATGACACCTATTTCCAAATACATTGTGGTTCAATAATTAACAAAAGACAAAAATAAAGCTTCAAATGTCTGAAGAAATTATTGTTTGTACTCACGTATTGAAGGTCGTCTTTATATACATGGCTTTGGAACCCTTTATTAAAATGCTCGACGAAGGAAGATGAAAGGAGAATCCTAGAAGAAATTCATAAAGATTTCACGGGGCAAAAATTAGGCAGACGGACATTAGCCGAGAAAACCCTAAAGGTCAGCTATTATTAGTTGGTGATGAACGAAGACACAAGGACGCATATCTAGAAATTCCATAAATATCAAAGGCGTGTAGACGTACATATCGCTCCCCCGACAGATATGTGATGCAAGCCGCAAATGCACAACAATGCGAAGTAGTACAAAAGATATCGAACCACATAGAGATATTGTTTAATTGTCTATTTTTACTCTAGCGTTGTAACACTAAGGCAATTAAATTTTGGGGTTTCAGTGTTGATGAATAAAATTAACAGAAATAAAAGATAAAACATGTGGTACATGATTACCTATCCCCATGTACCCAATTGACTCTCCAAATCGAATATGAGAAAAACATAGCGAGTTATAGAAAAATAGACTAAATTGTGCAACACCTGCTTTAGCATCGTGTGTACTATCTGGGATGGATAATTTGTATGCTTTTGCTATCTTGAATCATTCATCCGAGAATATTTATTTAGCACGTCTATGAGGCTTTCTCTATCAAAAGTGAGACACCCTTTCAGCGTCGCCTCAGACTCGGTTATTTAGCAATCCTTTTTTGGATACCAATCCACACCCTTTCGATGTACTATTGATATCTAGGTTGCCTCGACTTTCGCAAATGACAAAAATATATTTAAGCATTCGGACGCTAAAATAATGGTTGCTCGTATTTTTCTCATTTTTCATATATGGATGTGTTAGCCTGAGATTTTCAACTAAAACTTTTTAGCAAGAATGTGAGATATGAGGTAGATGTAAATACTAAGTGAAAATAGCTAAAGCATGCTTTCGACACCAAGTGGACCTTTTCACAAATTCAAAAGGTGGAGTTTTTAACATATATTATTAGGTAACCTAAAGACAGTTTTGACATCAGTAACGGTTTAGAGCGATTTGAGGACCAAATACACGTGGAAATACATCAGAAGACCAAAGCCCACGTAGCAGGATACTTGTCAAATGATGGATAGATAATTGTTATTGACAATTATTGATGTAACTAGTATATAAGTAAATTTCACTTTTGTAATTAGGGGTTCACATTTTCATTATGATCTCTTTAGAATTCACACATCAGAATCACAGAGATAAATAATTTGTGAGAAATGTATGAACTTCTGTCCCACTTTTAATTTAAGCATTTTTACTCAATTTTTTTTACTGTCTTTATTCATTTACTTTATCCTTTCAAACAATTACGCATTTTACTTATTTAAGTTCTTATCCAATTTCTCTAAATTTAAACATAAAAATTTTAAGTACAAATACATTTTCTCAAGTTTTTCACACAAAATGTCCTTAGTATTTTTCAAGTTTAATCCTGCAAGTGAATTAAAACTCATGATTTGTGCAAAATATAATTTGTTTTGCAAAGAGTGTATTGCTTTTAAATTTGTTTTCATTCTTCACGTCTTAATGTTTTTAATTGTTGAGTGTTTTACATCTGAGGAGTGGTAAATTTGTCAGTATGTCTATACCATCGGGTAATTCATCCCCTAAAGGGATTCCTCATCCCTAGAACAATGCTTCAAATGTAGAAGAACAACCAATAGGAATGACTGTTGATGGTGCAAGCACTTCAATAACCATTAGAGTAATTGCTTCTGTCGTGAGTCAGACGTTAGTTTCAACTACGACACCAGAAATGGTGATGCCACGACTACCACAAACTAGTTTTTCTATTAATCCCATGGTTACACCAACCACTTTAGGAGGTATTAAGCCTACATTCCTTCCAATTTTTACAATTCCTCTAGTGGTAGGGAGTATCCATATGATATGCCAACTACAATTATGGCATACCTACAGATGAATGTGTCGATGTATGCAGATAATGCAATGGTTGTTGCCTCTCATTTTAATCCATATATGGTGTAAAGATCTGTTATAAATAACCATGGTCGAATAGGACAATCTCAGGGATTATTGGGATATATCCCCCAAGTTATACCATTTTTAACTAATAATTCCCTTGTGGTTATAAGGAAATAGATGGATAAAAGTAACCATGACATGGTTAACATGATTATCCAACATATTTTTACAGTTTCCAATCCTTTAATACAAAATATTAATCATGGTTACCAACAATTAGCCCACCAAATGAGTTGAGTTATTGATTTCTTTGGTGCTCCTCCAACACCAATTCAGTCGGCTCCTAATAACCAAGTGCAACAACAAGTTTCAGCCCAACCAGTCGAGCAACCTAGATCTAGGGTAGTCTAAAATATGGTGTTCGTAAATAGAAACAAAGATACAAATCAAGTAGTTGGGATAGTCCAACAAAAAAAATTGGGGGGGCAAAATAACATAACCAATATGGTAAAACAAATTTTGACTCAAAATGGTCTTAATATTGGTCTTCATATGCCAAATTTTGTTTTTGCATTATATGAATATGTCTTGCAAATTGAACTTCCCACGAGTTGGAAAATCCCTAAGTTTACTATATTTGCAGGTGACACTGGTGAGTCTACTGTCAAACATATTGCTCGATACAGGACAGAAGTTGGTGATTTGGATAATAACGAAATTTTAAAGATGAAATACTTCCCAAACTCTATGACCAATAATTCTTTTACATGGTTCACTACTCTCCCTCCAAATTCCATCCATTATTGGAATCAACTAGAGAGAGTGTTCCATGAGTAATTTTCTATAGGATGGTAGAAAATTAGCATAAGAGAATTAGCAAGTGTGAAACGAAAATCGTCTGAACCAATAGATGATTATCTTAATAGGTTC